CCCCTCCTCCCACCCAACCCCCCCCCCGCAGAAATCTGGCCCTTAACCTGGCGATGCTGGTGGTCCCGTTTGTGCCGGCCAGCAACCTTTTCTTCCGCGTGGGCTTTGTGGTGGCGGAGCGCGTGTTGTACCTTCCGCTGGTGGGCTTCTGTGTGCTGGTGGTGCACGGCATGGCTCGTCTCTGTGGCAGCGCTCGCCACAGGCAGGTGGGTCCTCCCTGGATGAAAAGGGTTTTTTTTTGTGGGTTTTTTTTGTTACCGTTGGGTTTTTTTTTTGGTGTGTTTTGTTTATTTTGGATGTTTTACGGGGCTCGCAACTTTTTTTTGGATTAAATTAATACATTTTTTTCTGTAAGTTTTTTTGGGGTATGTTTTGTTTATTTATTTTGTGTAAGTGTTTTACAAAGCTCGCAATTTAAAAAAAAAATCAATTTTTTTGTTTTTGAAAAGTTTTTTTTGGTGGTATTATTTATTTAGTTTTTTGTTTATTTTATGTAAGTGTTTTATGAGGCTCGCAACCTTTTAAAATTTCTGTGGAAGCGCTCAGCACAGGCAGTTGGGTTGTCGGTGTGTTTAAAGTTAGTTTTTTGGGCGTTTTTTGCGACCTGCGTAACACCTTCCTACCTGCCTCTTCAGATATCAGAAATACTTTACACAGCGACAAAATGCAGCAGATAAAAACTTGTAAATTAAATGCCATATCGACAGGCCAAAGGGCTAGAACCCAGATGGCCGCTGGATCGGAAAAGTAAAAAGTAAAGTCATCATCCTCAGCCTTTCACCCCTGGCAGGGTATAGGCCACATACAAGCTCCTTCCATTTATCTCTGTCCTGGGCCATCCTCCCAAGCTCGTTCCAAGTGAGCTTCATCTCTCTCTCATGTCCCTTTCCACGCTTCTCCTCCATGTTTCGCGTGGCCTACCCTTGCCTCGTGCTCCCTGTGGGTTCCACTGCAGCGACTGTCTTGTGATGTTTCCACTGGGCTTTCTTAAGGTGTGTCCCATCCATCGCCACTTTCTTAGTCCTATTTCTACTTCTGTATCCTTTTGTCCTGTCCTTTCCCACACCTCTTCATTTGTTATTCTATCTTAAGTAAAGTAAGTAGTATTATTATTATTATAATTAATTTTTGTTTTTCTTGTCCCAGAAATGTCTGGCTGGGTTTGTTCTGCTTCTGGCTGTGTTCATGGGTCGTTCCATTCAGGTGAGTGTGTGTGTGTGTCTGAGTATGAGTGTATGTGAGTTTGTGTGTGTGTGTGTATGTGTTGGTGTATATATGTGTGTGTTTATGTTTGAGTGTTTGTATGTATGTGTGTATGTCTGTGTGTGTTTGTGTGTGTGTTTGTGTATGTTTGTGTTTCTGTGTGTGTTTGTGTGTGAGAGTATATCGTCACTACCCACACGCTAGCTGTGTTCACAGTACACATCATTCACACGTGTGTCTTGTCTCTTCTCGTCTGCTATTTCTCATCTCCCATCTTCTCCCATGATTCGCTGCTTCCTTAATAGTGCCGATACGTAATATTTCTACAATCCTGTCTCATGTAATTAAGATTTGCTGCCTCCTAAATAGTATTGATTCAAAAAACTTTTACAATTACTATTTGTCTCACATGATTGTACAAACACATATGATTGCCTCACATGATTGCCTCATGTGATTTGTACAAACTAAAAATACAATGATTGTTTCACGTGATTAGTACAAACACATGCAAATGGGTTGTTGGCAGGTGCTGTGGTGTGATTTGCTCCTTCTTTCCTATAAAACATCTATCGTCCTGATGTCTCCGCCTTCTTTTTTGTGTTTGTTACTCTCTTGTAACACCTCTAATCTTCTGCACTTTCATGACCTTGTTGTGTTGCAAGTGCCGTAAAACTCTTACTAAAAGAACATACAATGAATGTCTCACATGTTTGGTACAAACACAAACTATGATTGCCTCATGTGATTTGTCCCGACCACCAGGGCAGTGCTACTGACTGAAGTTGTCGTTAGACCCCTCCCAAAAGGGGTATATTAACATGTTCTTACGCACAGTAGAATTATTATTGTAAATGGGCTGATTTATCAATGTCATACTCATACTGTGCCCGAATAACATGGGGAAACTGCTCCTTTTTCTTTCCTCATCCTTACTATCGTCATTTTTCCTCTACTTCTTTTGTATGTTTATCACTCTCTTGTGAACTGCTTTTTTTCCGGGGTGCCTTGATAGTCAAAGCAGACTTTGTGCTGTTGAGGCTAGAGAGGTGAGCAGAGTAAACCCGATTCCTCGTTTGGACTTCTCTGTTGACATCCTCCCCTCGGCGCTCATATGACCTAATGCAGTTGCGAGCGCCATAAAACCTTACTAAAACTAAAACACATGATTTGTACAAACTCATACTATGATTGCCTCACGTGATTGTACGAACACTACAGTGATTGCCTCACATGATTGCACAAACACGTACAGTGATTGCCTCACATGATTGTACAAGCATATACAAGGATTGTGGGCAGTTGACGGGTGCTCTGGTGTGGTTTGCTCCTTCTTTCCTATCAAATGTCTATCGTCCTGATCTCTCCTCCTTTTTTGTGTTTGTTACTCTCTTGTAACACCTCTAATCTTCAGCACTTATTTGACCTTATTGTGATGCAAGTGCTGTAAAACTCTTGCTAAAAAAATCATACAATACAATGATTGCCTCGCTTGATTTGTACAAATACATACAAACAGGATCCTTCATCAACCGTCATCAACTGCTGCGGCGGGTGATTGCGACAACAATAGCGGCCCAGGTGTGGACCCCTTTCCGAGATAGGGTTTTTGTTCCTCGCTCAAAGATATGCCGTTGGTGTCCTTTACCTTAGAACTACCAGCACCGGGAAGGGCGGTTGGCAGGTGCTCTTGTGTGGCTTGCCCCATCTTTCCTGTCAAATATCTATTGTCCTTATGTCCTTATCTCTCCCCCTTCTTTTCCTTGTATGTTCCTCTTTAGTTGTACAGATAATCTTGTGTTGCAAATGCTGTGAAGCTCTTACTAAAACTTTTAGAAACTATTTAAAAAAACCAGCGTTGGCCTTCTTAGCATCCTTTTTTTCAGCAATGACTCTTTCCGTTGTAACTAACGAACCTTTAAAAAAAATTATTTTGATAAAAAGTCATCTTAAAGCGGGAGTTTATGTCGCAGATTTTGTATTCTAGTATGAGAAAATTGCCAATATACAAAGATGGCAGTGGGCGAACCGTGCTCAGCACTGAGATATATGTAAAGTGAGAACATGCAAGATGTGTGTGTGTGTGTGTGTGTGTGTGTGTGTGTGTTTGTTTGTGTGTGTGTGTGTGTGCATGTCATATTCATGTGTTGGGAGATTGTGCTTAGAGTGAAAGAGATAGACCTACCACAGACATTCCCTGGTCCTCTTTGAAATGTTGGTTGTTGTAACAATATTATTATGAATTGGATGACTATTGCTAATTTTACAACCGTTCTGAAAATGGAAATGATATTTGTTACTATGGATAAATGATAGTCAAAGGAATAGTTTCTAGATGGTGGATGCTGTTTCAGAAAATGTCTATACAAACAGATGTTTTGACTTTTACCCATCTACCTGCCTACCTACCTACCCACCTACTTACCCTCCTACCTTCCTACCTACCCACTTACTTACCTATCTACCTACCAACCCATCTACCCACCTACCTACCCACCTTTCTACCTACCCACTTACATACCCACTTACCTTCCCACCTACCTACCTACCTACCCACCTACCCACCCACCTACCTGTGTCCTGAGTGATGATGCCACATAGCCATATATCTCTGTACAAAAAGACTGAACTACTGACTCTTATCTGTTTATTTCTGTCCGTCCGTCCATCCATCCATTCGTTCATCCATCCGTCCATCCATCCATCCTTCTACTCTAGCCACCTCTTTGTGTCGCGAGTGATGAAGCCACTTAGCCAAATCAGAACATTCGACTGCTGACCGAGTCTTGGGCTTTGGGATGTGGTCTGGAGTGTCCTGAAGAAAAACCGCACCGAGATTGCGACACTCTGCTCTGACGTGGCACACCGAGGTTTCGGGGACTAAGATGGGTGGTGATAATTCTACTTTGTGAAAGAGAAGTTTTGACTGTGTCGGTGGTAGCAGAAGACAATGGTGGGTGGTTGGCGGGCATGTGCTCTGGTGTGGATTGCTCCTTCTTTCCTATCAAACATCTATCATCCTTATCTCTGCTTCTTCTTTTTTGTGTATGTTACTCTCTTGTAACACATCTATTCTTCGGCAATTATATGACCTTATTGTGTTACAAGTGCGGTATAACTCTTACTAAATAACAGTCCCTCCATCCATCCATCCATCCATCCATCCATCCATCCATCCACCCACCCATCCATTCATCCACCCATCCATCCATACATCCATCCACCCACCCATCCATCCATCCATCCACCCATCCATCCATCCATCCATCCATCCATCAACCCATCCACCCATCCATCCATCCACCCACCTCTCTGTGTCATGAGTGATGAAGCCACTTAGCCAAATCAGAACATTCGACCACTGACCGAGTCTTGGGCTCTGGGACGTGGTCTGGAGTGTCCTGAAGAAAAACCGCACCGAGATTGCGACACTGTGCTCTGACGTGACACACCGAGATTGCGACACTGTGCTATGACGTGACACACCGAGATTGTGACACACCGAGATTGCGACACTGTGCTATGATGTGACACACCAAGATTGCGACACTGTGCTCTGACGTGACACACCGAGATTGCGACACTGTGCTCTGACGTGGCACCGAAGTTTGATGACAAATTATTCCTTCACTAATGTTTCTCAAAATAGCTTTGCAGCAGCACACTACTTTTTTTAATTTTAGAAACGTGTTTATGCGAAACGTTCAAATTTATTTTTTCTTTAATTTTTTTTTAAATTTTAAGAAAGGGTCTTTTTCATAATGAAACCATTATTTTTACACCCTAAGAAAATTAGTTGGAAATGTTCAAGTTAAACAGTGTTTAAAAAAAAAATTATCGGAGAAAATTTAAGAAAAGCATGGTGGAGGAAGGTTATTGTCAGCAAGTTCCCAGACAAACAGATTTATCTATCCTTCCATCCATGCATCCATCCATCCATCCATCCATCCATCCATCAACCCATCCACCCATCCATCCATCCATCCATCCATCCACCCATCCATCCATCCACCTCTCTGTGTCGCGAGTGATGAAGCCACTTAGCCAAATCAGAACATTCGACCGCTGACCGAGTCTTGGGCTCTGGGACGTGGTCTGGAGTGTCCTGAAGAAAAACCGCACCGAGATTGCGACACTGTGCTCTGACGTGACACACCGAGATTGCGACACTGCTCTGACGTGACACACCGAGATTGCGACACTCTGCTCTGACGTGACACACCGAGATTGCGACACTGTGCTCTGAAGTGACACACCGAGATTGCGACACTGTGCTCTGACGTGACACACCGAGATTGCGACACTGTGCTCTGAAGTGACACACCGAGATTGCGACACTGTGCTCTGAAGTGACACACCGAGATTTCGGGAACTGAGATGGATGGTGATAATTCTACTTTGTGAAAGAGAAGTTTTGACAGCATCGGTGGTAGCAGAAGACAATGGTGGGTGGTTGGTGGGCATGTGCTCTGGTGTGTATTGCTTCTTCTTTCCTATCAAACATCTATCGTGTGGGTGATTGGCGGGTACTCTGGTGTGGTTTGCTTCTTCTTTCCTATCAAACGTCTATCGTCTTTATCTCACCTTCTTTTTTTAAATGTTTGTTAATCTCTTTTAACACTTCTAATCTTCTGGCGCTCATATGACCTTATGCAGTTGCGAGAGCCGTAAAACCTCTACTAAAACTAAAAACATCTATCATCCTTATCTCTGCTCTTTCTTTTTTGTGTATGTTACTCTCTTTTAACACATCTATTCTTCGGCACTTATATGACCTTATTGTGTTACAAGTGCGGTAAAACTATTACTAATAAACGGTCCTTCTGTCCATCCATCCATCCACTCACCCACCCACCTGCTCACCCACTCATCCATCCATCCACCCATTCATCCATCCATCCATCCAAACTCCCATCCATCCATCCATCCATCCATCCGTCCATCCATCCGTCCATCCATCCGTCCACCCATCCATCCATCCATCCATCCACCTCTCTGTGTCACGAGTGATGAAGCCACTTAGCCAAATCAGAACATTCGACCACTGACCGAGTCTTGGGCTCTGGACGTGGTCTGGAGTGTCCTGAAGAAAAACCGCACCGAGATTGCGACACTGTGCTCTGACGTGACACACCGAGATTGCGACACTGTGCTCTGACGTGACACACCGAGATTGCGACATTGTGCTCTGACGTGACACACCGAGATTGTGACACTGCCCATTGACATGACACCGGGGTTTCTAAGAATGAGAGGGGTGGTGATAATTCTGCTTTGTAGAAGAGACGTTTCGACAGTTTCGATGGTTTTGTTTGGCCCTTAGTGCTTCGTCCATGGAGGAACAGTTTGTGTGGGTGGTTGGCTGGTGCTCTGGTGTCGTTTGTTCCTCTTTTCCTCATCCTTATCTCTCCTCCGTCTTTCTTTTGTGTTTGTTACTCTCTTGTAACACCGGTATTCTTCAGCACTTATATGATCTAGTGTGTTGCGAGTGCTGTTAAACTCTTACTAAAACTTAACTAAAACTGTTTGTTACTTGTGTATACATAAATTTTATCTAAGTCGTGCTGATGTCAAAATCGATTGCCAAAGACCTATTTATTGAGGCAAAAAAAATTGTAATAAACAATATCATGCCTCTTCTCCCAAGTGCTTCTAGCAGGCAGGAATCATCAAGAACATCACGTTCATAATACAACATGGTACAATATATACCACTCTATCACAACAGCCTGTTCTTGGTATGCCCAAGGCTAGATAAAAAAAATCTACTTATTCTCACGAGGATGTGTAGTCGATTACTTAGTTAATCATGACATTATAATGGAAATTGTGTTGATCGGGCTGTAAGAACACCTATGATTACTTGTACAATTTTACAGCCTTTTTAAAAAATATTTGTTTCACCTTTTTATTTTATTCTTCGTCCCTGGAGGACCAGCTTGTGATTTAGTTCGTATCCGTCGTCAAGAAATTCTTACTGAAAGCTATTTATAGAATTTGATCAGTTTATTGGATGAAGTGCCTGATCCTCGACAGATATCGTCGATCATGGCTCTCCATTCATTCCTTTGCTCGGATGCTCACAAAAAAACTACATTATCCTGATCTTTCCCCGTCACCCATCTGTTTCGGCTCTCCAAGCAGGTAGCTCTGGGTCTACCCTTGCCTCTTTTGTCTTCAATTCTGCCAGTGAGAGCTAGATGTTTAGGGCCTATATGTGTATTCAAAATCGGATGACTTTTCAACTGTTGGATAAAAATTAATTTTCACGCAATTTGTTTTTCTTTAATGAATTTGGTTGGAGGGCGAGACTGGCAGGTCTTAGTTCTTTACTTTCCTTCTGTCTGTCTGTCTGTCTGTCTGTCTGTCTGCCTGCCTGCCTGCCTGCCTGCCTGCCTGCCTGCCTGCCTGCCTGCCTGCCTGCCTGCCTGTCTGTCTGTCTGTCTGTCTATCTGCCTCTGCCTGCCTGCCTGTCTTACTTCTCCCCCCCCACCCCCCAACACCAAATGACCATTATAATTATGTTGATGTATGCTTCTCTTTTCTCAAACAAACAAACAAACAAGGGTTTTTTTCATGTCATTTCCTTCCAGAGAAGCAATGAATGGAGAAGTGGAATGACTTTGTTCAGGTCTGGCGTCAGCGTCTGCCCACTGAATGCCAAGGTCAGAGGTGTTTTTTTTTTCTTCCCCTTTGCTATGAGTTTGTTGCTTGTTGAAATGAATTCTTCTTCATATGTGTCACAACGTGGTGGAATCAGGCACTCATCACTTTTGGGGGCATTTAGAGTTATTGGTATTATCTTAAAGCCTGTCTATTTGCCTTGCTTTTTATAAAACAAATATCCCTTTATCTTGGATACAAGTCATGATATTGGCAATTGAAGGAGGTGGGGTTTGCCTGGGTTCAGAGGTAATATTAGCGAGAAAATGACGCCAAAGTTGAGTTATTTCCTTAGCTTGGGAGTCCTTGGAAGAGGAGAATTTGCGTGTTTTATTCATTTAATCAAGGTTTGGTAGTAAAATCCGCACAGAAAAAGGTTCTTTAATGGGCATGAAAGGTGTGAACCAAAAAACAAAAATTTAATAAAAATTCACTAACCTGCGGGAAAATGCCAGTTTCTTGACTTTCATTATTTTGACGAGCGCCTGATTTCACCACGCTGCCTCACATATTATGGTGGGTGGTTATGTTCCACTCTCTTGCATCTCTGCCCAAATAATCCTGTACAAAACCCCCCCCCAGGGCATTGCTACTGACTAAAGTGTCTTTAGGCCATTCCCATGTTCTTATTTACAGTAGAATTGTAAGTGGGTGGTTGGCGGGTGCTCTGGTGTGGTTTTCTTCTGCTTTCCTATCAAGCATCTATCGTATTTATCTCCCCTCCTCCTTTTTTGTGTTTGTTACTCTCTTGTAACACCTCTAATCTTCGGTACTTTTATGACCTTACTGTATTGCAAGTGCCATAAGACACTTACTAAAACAAACAAAAAAGTGTGTTTTTTTTGGTTTTTTGCTTTGAGATTGTTGCTTGTTGAAATTAAATTTTTCTTCATATTATTATGGCGGGTGGTTATGTTCCACTGTCTTGCATCTCTGCCCAAATGTGAAGCATGCTGACGAAACGAGTTACGTCTCGGATTCAAGCCTTAAGGAAAAAGATACATCACACTTGTCGGTGAAATTTATACAATATATAAGGATGAAATAATAATAGACAAGGTTACAGTTAAAGAATATGACATCATCAATAGAAAATCTACATATTTGACCCCAATGTCGACTTTTGGACAATATCTCCGTTTGTGGATTGCGAGAAGTAACTCATTTTGTCAGCACGTCTCACAAATAATCCTGTACAAGACTTGCTATTAACATGTTCTAATGCACAGTAGAACTGTGAATGGGCTGATTTATCAATGATCAATGTCATGCTCAAACTGTGCCGGAACAACATAGAGGGAACTGCTGCTTTTTCTTTCCTCATCCTAACTATCGTCATATTTCCTCTACCTCTTTTGTGTGTTTGTCACTCCCTTGTGAACTGCTATTTCCGGGGTGCCTTGATAGTCGAAGCAGACTTTGTGCTGTCGAGGCTAGAGAGGTGAGCAAGGTAAATCTGATTCCCCGTTTGGACTTCTCTGTTGACATCCACCCCTTGGCGGTCATATGACCTTAAGCAGTTGCTGGTGCAGAAAGTTTTTTGTCATTTTGTTCTCTTCGTCTCTGTCAGCCGCTGTTGTTCCACCGAAAAGTTGTCATAAACGCTGACTCTTGCCACCCCCTCCCTC